AGACATACATTTGTCCCACAGTTGGGTTTTTGTTTAGAAACACCGACAACGTTCGATTTCTCTTAAACGGGAAAGCCAATTTCTCGTACTTCAAGAAAAGATTGGAGGCCAAACTTGAACGAGGCCCGGTATCCCAGATATTTTATCAGAATCCAGTTTTTTTTGGAAACAACCAAGTAATTTTTTATAAGGTTGAAGTTCAAGATGACGAGGATCTCCAGAACATGATTTCCAGCCATGTCTATTCTGGATACGACTCTATTGAGTTGTACGTTTTGCTTCAAGAGCCTCCGGTGACACAGGAGGTAGAGCCTCCGGTGACACAGGAGGTTGATCCTTTGGAGAATGAACAAGATGAGGTAGATGCAGTTGATGATGAAGAAGATAACGAGTTAGAGTTTGATGAAATGGTGAACGATGATTCTGACGATGATGGCATCCCTAGTATTCCTACAGACAAAATCTACACACCACCTCCGCACATGACAAATTTCAACATGGGCGGAGATGAACCTTCTACTGACTTATTTTTCAAACCGTATATGCAGTCGGATGAAAATTTAAAAGAGAAGGACAAGTTTCGTAACAGAGAGGAATGCATCAGGGCCATTAAAAAATTTCACATGCTCAACTCGGTTGATTTTAAGGTGGATCGTGTCAACCCGGAAAGGTACAAGATCAAGTGTGTCAACCCTGACTGTATGTTCAAGCTGACCGCATCATACAGATTAAGGGGTGACTGCTGGGTCATAGGTTCCATGACTACCCACACTTGTGTAAGTTCCACTCAATCACAGGACCACCGAAAACTCAACCATGATCTAATCTGTCAAGAAATCCTACCCCTGGTCAGCAACGACCCATCTTTGAAGGTGAAAACAATCATCTCCCACATCACCACGGTTTTTAACTACACTCTGTCTTACCGTAAGGCGTGGTTAGCAAAGACTAAGGTGATTGAAAGGGTGTACGGAAACTGGGAGGAGTCATACCGAGAACTTCCCCGCTACCTGAATGCACTCAAGACATATTCTCCAGGTAGTGTTTATGTTCTGGAAACATTGCCAGCGTACGCCCAAGATGGTAGTCTACTGCATGGCAACGGAATATTCAGTCGCGTGTTTTGGGCATTTCAACCATGCATCACAGGGTTTGCATCATGCAAACCAATTCTACAAATTGACGGGACTTGGTTGTATGGGAAGTACAAAGGCACGCTATTGATGGCAGTTGCACAAGATGGCAACAACAACATTTTCCCCGTTGCGTTTTCCCTTGTCGAGGGGGAGACCGGTGGTGCTTGGAGCTTTTTCCTGAAAAATCTTCGGACACACGTGGCTCCTCAACCAGATCTCTGTTTGATCTCGGACAGACATGCCTCCATTGAAAGTGCCTACAATAATCCAGCAAATGGTTGGCATGACCCTCCTTCTACGCATGTTTATTGCGTCAGGCATATCGTCCAAAATTTTTCGAGGGAGGTCAAGGACAAAACATTGAGGAAAGCGGTTATGAATGTGGGATATGCATTGACACAACCCACATTAAAATATTACCGCAACGAGATCCGTTTGTCTAATCCAGAAGCCGGTACGTGGATCGACAATATTCCGGTCGAAAAGTGGACTAGGTCATACGACAATGGCCAAAGATGGGGGCATATGACAACGAATCTTATTGAATCAATGAATGGGGTATTCAAGGGCATACGAAACCTCCCAATCACTGCCTTGGTAAAATCCACGTATTTTAGGATGGCTGCATTATTTGCCAAAAGAGGTGAAATGTGGTATGCGGTGTTGCAATCAGGACAACTATGGAGTGAAAGCTGCATGAAATACATTAAGGCTGAAAGTGCTAAAGCCAACACTCACATGGTTACACGGTTTGACCGACACAGCCACAACTTCATTGTGAAAGAGACAATCGACCACAATGAAGGCCTGCCAAGACAAGAATACAGGGTCATTTTACCTTCTCAATGGTGCGATTGTGGCAGGTTTTAAGCATTTCGTATGCCTTGCTCTCATGTCATTGTCGCTTGTGCTCATACCCATCAAGACGCGCTTCAACTGCTGTCAAACGTTTACAAATCTGAAACGTTGCTCACTGTTTACAACAACAACTTTCCTTTGGTGGCAAAACCGGATTATTGGCCTGAATACAACGGCGATATAGTTTGGCACAATGACCAAATGCGAAGGAACAAGAAGGGTCGTCCCAAAAGTAGGCGCATCACAACAGAAATGGACGATCTTGACAGGTTGGAAAGAAAGTGTGGTTTATGCCGTCAAGTCGGACACAATCGCAAAAAACTATCTGAATCGGGCGTCTGGCTTGACCACATAAATATTGTAATACAATAAATCTTTTCAATATTTGTGTTGTAAACATTAGGGTTTTCCGTTAACAGATTTTGCTACAATTAATAAAACGCGTACAACAATGATTAACGATATTCAATCTAGGAAATTACAACTGTTAACACAATTTCATCTGACTCATGCATCATCAACATTACATCAGTGTCTGTTTTGACTTCCTCCAACCACACATTAGGTCTTCCTGTCGCATGCGAGGTTGTTGTTCGTTTTCGCTGGATCCTTCGAATTTTCCCCCTCCGCGATGTCTCCATCTAGCCACCGCATCAACTCCCGCTTCAGACGCTCCATGGAGTGAATGTGCCAGAATTTCATTTTCATCACAGGTTTCGTGGCGGAGAATATAACGTAACCATCTCTGCTAAAAATCATAGGCGACGTCATTACGCAAATAACGGAGTACAAAATAAAAATACAGTGCGAGAAAGTGTGAGAAATTTCGAAGAAACGGACGAATTATTTATAAAACAGCATTTTGCCCTAGTTTTGCCCTAGGCGCCAAGTGAGATGGCGCCTCCTCTCATTTTTAAGGAGCATGCGCCATCTCACTTGGCTAAAAGCCAAGGGAGGCGCCAAGTGAGATGGCGCCTAGGGCAAAACCCTAGGTGCATGCGCCAATTGAGATGGCTCCTCCTTTGTGGAATCATCTGAAACATGGTTATTTGCGTAATTTTTTCCGAAACCCGATTATTTGCGAAATATTTTTTTAATACATGGTTATTAATAAAAAAAATTCACAAAAATAAACATTTTTCCCCAATATTTAACAAAAAAAAATTAAATTGACTAATAGAACAGTTGTTAGAACATTAATAATAAAGTTTATTAAATAAAAAATTAAAATAAAATCTTAAATTAAATTAAAGAATAAAAAATATATTTAATCTTAAAAAAATCATAAATATAAATGATATTTAACTACAATTTTATTTTATTGATATATATATATATATATATATATATATATATATATATATATATATATATATATATATATATATATATATATATATATATATATATATATATATATATATATATATATATATATATATATATATATATATATATATATATATATATATATATATATATATATATATATATATATATATATATATATATAAAATGTTTTTAAAGTTAACATATTTTAAAAGTATTATAATAGACTTTGGAAGCGATGAATTCAATTTCCCTTTGATTTAAAATCCTTCTAGAAATCAAACCAAACTAAAATTACACACTAAAATAAATCCAAATGACAGCAACCGAGGTGCACGACTAAAACCAAGAATAGTAGGAAGTAAAGACACGCAACAACTTGGCTCACCATCATTCATACTAAGATCAAATTCCTCTACAATTTCATTTCTAATCTTTTATTTTACTATTCAAACAAACCTCACTACTTTTTTTTTCAACATTTACTCTTCCTTATCAAACAACAAATTACATAATTCAATACATTTATAAAAGAATATAACAACTTTTTTTTCTTCAATTCAGCTGATGATGATTATGATGAAACATCATATACATAAACACTGGTTTATACAGGTGACATTCCATTCGTTAACATTTTTAATATATTTATGTAAAAAAAATATAGTTCAGTCTGTCTTTAAGATTTTGTTTGGAATGATCATATCAGATATAATTGAGCGGAATTGAACATAATAAAATAGAGTGATATTCTATTGTCCGGAGCGAAATTGATGATATAATTTTTATTTCATCATTTATTATTATATTTCTTTTTCTTTAATTTGAGCAGAATCAACAACTTATCTTATTCCATCTTAAAATTTCTAAACAATAAAATGATATTTTAATTCTGCTCTACTCGATTATACTCCATTGCATTCCACTCCGCTACATTGGATTCATTTCATCCAAACATCGCCTAAAGACTTTATATTATTGATCATTTCTCAGGAAAAAAAAGCAAGAAAAATCTATTATTGATTGAGGCATGCTTGTGTATTTTTTAATTTAATTTTTATATAATATATATAGCTTTTTGTTATTATATCTATCTATGAATCATGATCAATAGTGAAAACCTATATTTCTTTTGTTCTTTTTCTCATTTCAATCGTTGTTGTTTTGCTTTTTCATCTTTATTCATTCTTTCAAGTCACATATCATTCTAACAAGACAATAACATCACTTTAACCTTCTTCAACAATCATATTCTCTCTCTGTTTGTTTTCAACCATTCAATTAACCTTTTGCTAACAAATTTCAATTGTTATCATGTTTCAAAGGAACCCTTTTTACACAAACCCAGAACCTTGTCTGCATCTTTCTGATTACAAGCTCAAACATGGTTTCAGTGGCTACAAAGCTCTTCAAAAGCTACTTGTTACTTCTCCAATAGGGAGGACCAGTTTGGAGAAACATAGTTTAAGAATACCCAGATGTAGTTACTGTAATGGGGTGTGTGAAAAAAGGGTTTTTTTATGTTTGATTTGTTCTTCATTCTCTTGTTTGGATCATACCCTTTTGCATCCAAAGACTGAAACTGGTCATGATTTGTTTGTAGATGTAGAAAGGGGTGAACTTTTTTGTGGGTTGTGTTGTGATCAAGTTTATGATCCTGATTTTGATCAAGTTGTGATGGCTAAACATTCAATGGTTTTGCCACAAGGTGTTGTTTTTGGGAATGAGAGTATTGGCCAGAGATTGATTAAGAGAAGGAGATTGGTTTCCGGGATTGGGTTGTGTTTGAATGATAAATCTAAGTTTAGTTTTTCGGTTAAAGATCTGAGAGGGAAGTCTTGTTTTCCTGAGGGATTGAGGGGTTTGAACAATTTGGGTAGTACATGTTTTATGAACTGTATGTTGCAAGCATTGCTTCATGCACCTATTTTCAAGGACTATTTCTTGAGTGATGGACATGATTCGGAAGATTGTAAAAGAAGAACGATGGATAGGTTGTGTTTGATTTGTGATATTAATGCTGTTTTTTTAGCTATGTATTCGGGCGGTCGAACTCCGTATAGCCCTGCTCGGTTTCTATACAGGTCTGCCATTATTCTTTATGTCATTGCCTTTGAAGAAAATTTGGACCTTATTATGTTGCTTTGGTTTGGTCCTCAAATTCATGTTTCTTTTAAATGGTGAAACTTTTTGTTTTTGTTTCAAGCTGGTGGCAGCATTCAGCAAATTTAGCGAATTACGAGCAACAGGACGCCCACGAGTTTTTCATTGCGATGTTAGATGCAATCCATGAGAAAGAGGACATAACGGGGAAAGGAAGCAAAGGTATTGACGTGCCAAGACTTGGTTTTTCCCCTGCAATTTTGTTTGCTTATATCAATGTTATGTTAAGTCTAGTTGTTTACGTATTGTTTTACGATACAAAAGACAAAACCATATTGATATAACTGGCTCGCTGGACAGGCTTAAATGTTACTAAACACAAGATGTATGTATGATTACTGATATGTACAGGAAATGGTGGAGAGTGTCAATGCATTGCTCATAAAGTGTTCTATGGGCTATTGAGATCAGATGTTACTTGTATGGCTTGTGGATTCACCTCAACAACCTATGACCCTTTTTTGGACATTTCACTTAACCTCGACATTAATATCTCTTTGGTCGAAAAGGGTAAAAAACTTACCAAACAGAATGAGGATGACAACATGTCTACACTTCTAGGTTGTTTGGATTTGTTCACTAGGCCAGAGAAGTTGGGGCCGGACCAGAAACTTTACTGCCAAAATTGTCAGGAAAGGCAAAACTCCTTGAAACAAATGTCTATTAGAAAGCTCCCTCTAGTACTTACTTTGCATGTAAAACGGTTTGAGCATTCTTTCGTTAAGAAGTTGTCAAGGAAGATTGATCGCTACCTACAATTTCCGTTCTCCTTGGACATGACTCCTTATTTGTCCTCTTCTATTCTTAGAGCTAGATATGGAAATAGAATTTTTAATTTTGGAGGTGATGAATCAGAAACTTTTTCCAAGTTCGAGATTTTTGCAGTGGTGACACATTCGGGGACGCTCGAGTCTGGCCATTATGTTTCTTTTGTAAGATTAAGGAAGCAATGGTATAGATGTGACGATGCTTGGATAACCGAGGTTGATGAGGCAATAGTCAGAGCTTCACAGTGTTACATGATCTTCTATGTGCAAAAGACTTTGTTCAATAATGCAAATGAAGATCTTAGTCACCTTCCAAATTCACCTGGAAGAGAGGTGTTTATTCCTATTGCTGGTTGCTGCTAGAGATGATATCATGAGAGTACATGGCATAAAATGGAATCGAGCATCGAAGGCCGATTCGTTGCTCAGTGAGAGAACACTTTCTCTTTGATTCTCTCATATGGCTTTGGAGAATCACAGTTTGTAGTTGACAAGATTGATTTTCAATATTCATATCGAAAGTTCAAACTGCAACAAGGTAACTTGACCTTAATTTAATATATGCATGTTACTTGTCAACCATAGTTTCTCTCTTATGCTGACCATGAAATAGGCCCTTAAGATACCTACAATTATGCTTACTGAAATTCTTTATTTGCAGGTTAGTCATTAACTGATTATAATAAGAGATGTTCAACAATCATTGCTATTTGCTACTCTTGTGTCTCCACCACTAAGGGAAGTACATGGAGAAAGAAAAAAGAAAAATCAAGGGGCAAAACAGGTTTTATGTGGATGACTAATTTTGTTTGAAGAACCTTGTATTGCTCATTACTCTTTTCACCTTGAGAGTGCAAATTTGAGGTTTGCTTCATTGGTGCATAATAGGCAAGGGTTTTGTTGAAGACATATTTGTTCATTTATTTAATGGTGATGTGAAAAATATAATGGATCTAACTTTTTTTTGAGACATTCAATGTTAATGTGTTAGTTTGTTATTTTATGCGGGAGGTCAAAGCCATTTTTGAGTGCGTGTAAGGCAGACTATCGCACCGGACTTATTAAACTGTGGTTAAATAAAGTCTCATAAAATGTTTGTCTCAGTTAAATTTTAAGTAAACTAGATCTCGCTTTTATCATAATTAAACTGTGATTAATTTGTACATAATTTTCAAAAACTTGAAAGGGCTTCGATGGAGGTGAGAATTGAATCTAAAATCACCTTATCTCCCTGTTATGATCTAACTTAAAAGGTATGGCTATGTGAAAATTAGTCTTGTCACTGTTGCTGCAACTACTTAATTAATACGTTCTATTGAATTTAAAGAAATTAGTTCATTGATAATAGGATGCTTATAATTTACACATCTAGACATTCAAAAATGGCGATGCAAATGGGAAAAAATGGATTATGCCACTCAAAATATCTGTCTCTTTTTGAAATGTGCCGTTTTTATAATTGAACGATGGCTTTAAGTTTAGGGTTAATGGATGGGGTGGTATGGTATGGTATAAAAATGAGCCAATATTGATTTAGATTGGTTATGAGAATTGTTCACTACACCTCATACATTACTCTCAAATTCTATGAAAATTCGAAATTATTCTTTTGTACCGTTAAAAAATTGAAATTCGGACGCACCTTAAATATAACAAGTCTCCATCATAGAAAACATACCCTCATTCAACTAAAAAAATGTGTCTCGATTACAAAAGTCGGACACATTCTAGCAATTGCAGGCATAATGAAATGGGAAAGCGAATTCTGCATAATCCTTGCATGTATAATATTTTTCATGGCCATAACTCAAATATTCCTTAAATCCTTCAAAAGATTTTTTTTCATGTTCAAGATTTTCATTTGTAAACACAATCTTATTGTATTTCGCCATCAAAAGACGTTGAATCTATTGAAATTTCAAGTATTGTACGTGTATATTATTGATCATCATTTATATAATTTGGTTTTTCATTCTTAACTATTAATACAAATTTTGAAGATTGAAAACTAAATTCTTGTAGGATTGGTCATGCATGATATTGAAATATTGATTCGTTCAATATTGATTGAAAATTATCTTATTTTTTGTTGTTGTAGTTATGGTGCACCCTGATACTATGACCAAACACCTTGATCCTGTGATTAAAGCTAATCCATCTAAGGATTGTGATTCAAAATTACTCCAATAAATTGTTGTTTACATTGATGTTTGAAAATAATTTGCCAATAAAACATGAGTTTACTTCACGTAAGCATATGCTTGAATGAGTCTGTACGAAGGTTATCAAATTAGAGTTTGACATTGTTAATGGGAGGTTGGATATTGGTTCAGATAGAAGATAACCATTTGTTACAATGAGATTCGAAAGAAATGATAAGTATAAAGAACTTATATGAAATTTGAAACGCGATGACACCAGAGCAAGAAAAATCCGGATATCATTTTAAGTTGCTCGGGTACCACGAGATTAATAATACATGGACAATTATTGTGATTTGTGCTGTACAAAATCATGGTTTGTCTCACAACTTAGATGGTCATTCGATTGTATGCCGTTTGAACTTTGAAAAGAAAAAACTTGTTTCTGACATGAAAAGAACACGGTTCAACCCAAAATCATACTCAAAACTTTGAAAAGAAAAAGACTTTAAAGTGTCTCAAATATAAAATAAGTATATAATGTTCGCAACCGAAACAACAATTTGATAAGATGTCCAAGATTCGAAATACAATAATTTTTGAAGTTGTTGGATGGTGATCATTATATCTAGGTACAAAGTATTTAAGGATGGAAAAACTGTTCGAAACATAGTTAGGATTTATCTCGATTCCATCAAGTTGCTTAATGCATTCTCCATTATGCTGATTATTGATTCAACATATGATATCAACAAGTACATGCTTTCTTTTTTTTGGAAATTGTTGGTGTTACTTCTATAGAGATGAGTTGTTTGACTGACTTTTCACTTTTGGAATGTGAAAAAGAAGATAATGTTGCATGAGCTATAGAAGTGTGTCAGGATACGTTGAAAGACCAATAAAACATGTCACATGGGATTGTCACTGATCACGATGTCACTGTGATGAATTTGGTTCCAGAGATGTTTCTTATATCATATGCTTTACTATGTAAGTATCATATAACACAAAATGTGAGAGGTAGATTTAAGTCTTTGGTAGAGACCAAACAAATCAAAGGAGAAGACGGGAAAATTTTTAAACCTAGTTAGATATTGGAAAACATAATGGATGTATGAAATGTTATAAAGAACTCTTCTATAAAAGTCTGTTCATGTGTTGATGTTAAGCATGCAGTTGAAGTTTGTTCACATGTTGAAGTCGAAATTTTGCATGCTAGTGTCAAAATATGCTAGGTTGTTAGCATGTCGAATTGGGACAAATATATCATCCCAATTCATTTAAGTTAGTTTATTTTTTAAGTTAGCTCACTAGTCTAAAAATAGACTGGTTCCTCAGGTTGTTGAGAGAGCATTGTTATTGTTATTCACTTGTAATCTTTGAATCCTAATTAAGAAAGTGAATAGTAAAACTTAACCACCTTGATTTCTTCTTCTTCTTCTTCTTTTTCTTCTTCTTTTTCTTCTTCTTATTTTTATTCTTTTTCTTCCCTCTTCTCTCCCTTTTGTAAAAATGAAGGGTTTCTTATGTTTATTCAAGAAACTTAATCTTTCTCATAGTTTTAATTTGTTCTCGACGACGCTCTTTACAACAAATTGATGCGGTTAGCATGGAGAAGAAGATACCGTCAATAAAGTATGCGATTGAGAAATTCACCGGTGTGAATGATTTTAGTATATGATGCTTGAAGATGCAAGCCCTTCTTGTTCAACAAGATTTGTTAGAAGCGTTAAAAGGATAAAAAATGGATGTTGCCCTAACAGAGAAGGAGACGACGATGATGATAGAGAAAACCCACAATGCCATCATACCGAGCCTTTAAGATAAGGTTCTACGATAAGTTTCGAAGGAGAAGACAACAACAAGTGTGTGGATGAAAATCAAAAGTTTGTATATAACCAAGTTATTAGTCAATCGCCTCTACCTGAAGTAAGTTATGCATTCATTCAAGACGAGTGAAGACAAAGTCTTGACGAAACAACTGAATAGGTTCAATAAGTTGATTCTTGATCTGGAAAAAAATGAGGTTACCATCAGTGATTAAGATCAAGTGTTGACGATGTTGTATGCTTTACCGAGATCTCATGCTCACTTCAAAGAAACCCTTTTGTACGGAAGAGAGTCTCTAATCTTTGAAGAAGTTCAATCATTCTTGTACTCGAAGAACTTGAACGAAAGAAAAGAGCACAAACCATCATTTGTTGGTGAATGATTGTCTGTAAAAGGAAAATTATCGAAGAAGGATGGTAAGTTTGAGAAAAAGAAGGGTAAAGGTCCACAAAAGTCTTAATAGTCTATAAATAGACGGGTTCTCTCAAGTTGTTGAGAGAGCATTGGTTGTTGTTATTCACTTGTAATCTCTGAATCCTAATTGAGAAAGTGAATAATAAAACAATTATAACTGATCCTTCTTCTTCTTCTTCTTCTTCGTATAACTGAAGGATTTCTTAAAAAAAAATTTCAAGAAATTCAATATTTATCATAGTTAGTTTTTTCTTGACGACGCTCGTTACAATAGTATCATTTGGTCAAGACTTCAAAAGTCAAATAATTTATTAGACTAATTATAATTTTAATAATGATTAACCATGGTAATCCTAATACAAGTTTTATTTTAAATAAAAACATAATACCGGTTTAAATAAGTAATTAGCTACTCGTAAGAGTTTAGATTTTAGATAAAGATATAAAATAAAACAAAAAATAAAATATCAAGCTTAAGAGATTTACACTAAATGATATTAATACTTATCAATTTTTAAACAATTTAAAAAAAACTATATAAAAAATTATTGGAAGAATTGCTCTAAAAATCAAAATTTATTATTTCATAAAATTCAATTGAGTCAAATTCACCAAAGATTTAAAAGATAAAAAATCGCATGGTTCAATGAAATAATTCACACCATCTTAACAAAATTTAATGATATAACTTAATAATTTACGTATTTGATATTCAACGGTACCTACATGTGTATTTGTCATGAGGAATAAAATACAAAATTAAAAGTGCATTCTTCAAAAATGGAGAGATTTTTCTTTGATTTTAACGTTGATTATGATAATTGGTTACATAAAATATGAGGGCGTGTTTGTTTGATGGATTAAATTTATAATTCTGAGAATGTTATTTCTAGAAATGTTATTGTTTAAAATATAATTCTCATCAATTTGTTTGACAATTATTTAGGTTCTTAAGAATATTTTAAAATTTAAATTTATTTATAATTTTAAAATTTTAAAATTTAATACAAAAATGTTAAAATGATATATAAATGGGTAGTTATAGTTGATTACTTATTATTCCTATGTGAATGTTAAATTTCCATCCTTTGACATGGAAAGAAATTTTTAAAATTTCATGAATAAATCATATTCTAAAGAATAAAAAATACCAATAAATTATTTATTAAAACTTCAAACAAACATGAGAATATAAACTTCAAATAAAAAATATTTTTAATTAAGATGATAAAGAGACTCAGTTAAGTTAGATTTTTGTGAGAAAAACATTGTATATTAAGAAATAGATTCAAGAAGAAATTTGTGAAAATTATTGTGTAGTCCGGATCTTAGCTAAAAAAATCCTCTAATTTAGAAATCACTGGTCAACTATACAAATATATTGCAAAGAAACTAAGCAGAGATGCGGCAATCAATTATATTAACCATTTAAAATGTTAAATGGAGACAAAGAAACACCATTTTCTCATCAAATTAATATTATTTCTATAACGAATTATAAATAAAATTGACCTTTTCAGTATATTTAATAATTAATATATATATATAATTCATGTAGTTTATATAAATTATGTTAAATATATCAAAAAAATCAAATTTATTTATAATTTGTTACAAAGGAAATACAAATTAATACGTAACTAAGTATTTTCAAATATAATAATTAAATGAAATAATCACATTCAAAATAAATTAACCGTACAAATTAAATTTTAAAAATGAAAATCTAAATAATAAATTATTAAAATAATATATTATTTTTAATAAGAATAAATATGTAATAAAACAATAAATACAATAATAACACCAATTTTAAATATTAACACCTCCATACTTAGAGTTTGACTTAACTTCACCTTATAAAATCGATTGTAAAGGTGAGGAGCGTCACTCTATATAAACTCTTTCAATGCTCTATCTTCAACCAATGTGAAATTTTACGATCTTCCTAACATCCATCCTTCTCCCATTTTAAAAATTCAAAGTTGTTTTGCACCCACTCCTTCTCAGCCCCCATCAAAATAAGTAACTTTTTTGATAAGTAACATAAAAGAAATGATGTCAAGTAGAAGTTTTCTTACCCATTTTAATAGTCAAATTTAGGAAACATCATAAGTTTGTACTTATCACAAAAGCTTTCATTTCAACAGCTGTCTTGAATTATATTTACCCTCTCACCTCCTTCAACACATTAACCACCAAAATATCTTCAAACATTGCATCCATTTTCAACAACAAGCAACTTTTTTTTACCATGAACTACTAGTTTTTTTTCTACCATTCATTAATTGTATATTGATAGAGATCCATACAATATACCTCATGGTCAAGCTCATTGTTTACTTTGCAAATATCCATTTTTTCTTCATTTCCAAAACTCAAATCACTTAAAAATGTTTCAAACCCTTCATGGGGTAATAGATTCACATCATGGGCAATAGAAAATCATTTATTTTTTTTGGAAAGTTTTAGTGTTGATTTGGTGTTGACTCTTGAAAAACAGTAACACAATGCAGGAAGATTCAGTTTCTGAATCTGATGAACAGAATGAAGGAAAAAAGTCAAAGAGTTATTGGATTTGGAAGTGTTTTTACATTCCAATTCATTGGTTTAAAATGCTTTCAAGGGAAATGCATTGGAGTTTTGTGTTAGGAGTTGTTGTTGTTTATGGAATAAGTCAAGGTGTTGGTGGAGCTCTTGCTGGTGTTGGAACAAAGTATTATATGAAAGATGTTCAGAAAGTTCAACCTTCTGAAGCACAGGTTTATGCTGGAATTACTTCTATTCCTTGGATTGTTAAACCCTTATGGGGTCTTCTTACTGATGTTGTGCCTATATTGGGATACAGGAGAAGACCTTATTTCATTTTTGCTGGTATGTTTTTATGTAATGTTCATGTTTGTTTTGCTTCAAATTTGTTTGATAGATTTAGGTTGGAATTTGGATTATTTGTTAGCTGAAACATTGTAGCTTTTTATGTTTCTTTCTGTACCTTTGTTGATGTTTATTTATCAAATTGAAATGAACTTTGATGGATGATGAGGTGTTAGTTAGGTGACTCGTGTAAGAACACAGTTTAATCTTGGATTTGACCTGACTCAACCCTATCATTTCTCTTTAGACATGAGAATGAAATGGGAGATTGAGCTCATAGTCAACGGCGGTTTTGAACCGTTTGGTTGCAATATGTATTAAGCATCAGTGAAGTTAGATTTTCTTCAAAGTTCAAACAACCTTAGTAGGGCTATAAATGAGGAGGTTTGGATTTTATATGTTTCTTATTTGGGATTAATATTGTCATTTATCCCAGATCAACGACGCCTGCAAAGGTTGACGAAGAGATTTTTAAACTGCTCCGCTTCACTAATATAATAATCTTTGATGGTTGCAGGTTTATTAGGAGCAACTGCCATGCTTTTATTATCTTTTCATGAAAACCTACATCTGGTATTAGCACTTTTAGCATTAACAGCAGGGAGTGCTGGGGTGGCAATAGCCGACGTGACCATTGATGCTTGTGTTGCACATAACAGTATCTCTCATCCTTCCCTTGCCGCCGACATGCAAAGTTTATGTGCCTTTAGTTCTTCTGTTGGAGCGCTATTAGGATTCTCCGTCAGTGGCATCTTCGTTCACCTTATAGGCCCTATGGTTAGTTAGCCTCTTAATTGTTTTCGAAGTTTTTCCTCGTCTTAAATGCACTTCATTACATTCTTTTTTTCGCAATCTGAAAGATTTTTCTCATAGGGAGTATTTGGTTTGTTGACTATTCCGGCTGGACTTGTCATTTTGGTTGGATTTCTGCTTGACGAGCCTCGTATGCAAAATTTCTCTTACAGACAGGTATATTTATGTTACCGAAATCACGATCTTACTCGCAAGATTATACAATTGTACCATATACGTGTTAAATCGCATTCCATGGTCCTAATATATGATTTTTCCATTTTCTAGGTGAACCAAAATTTTGTGGATGCTAGCAAGGCGATGTGGACTACATTGAAGAGTGAAAATGTATGGAGGCCTTGTTTATACATGTATTTATCCCTTGCACTGAGTTTGAATATCCTCGAAGGAATGTTTTATTGGTATACGGACTCGAAGGATGGACCATCTTTCTCTCAGGTATTTGATCAGGCATATTGATTTGTGTAGAGATTTTTCTTGTCATGTAATTTTGTTCAATAGAAGATAATGGCATAGAATACCAGTAATCTTTGTCTTGCATTTTTTCTTACACAGGAGAGTATAGGTTTCATTTTTTCAATCAGTTCCGTCGGTTCCCTTTTAGGCGCAATACTATACCAATATGCGCTAAAGGATTACGCATTCAGAGACTTACTCTTTTGGACTCAGTTACTCTATGGTCTATCAGGGATGTTTGATCTGATTATTGTCTTGAGATTGAACCTAAAATTCGGTATTCCGGATTACGTCTTCGTCGTTTTCGTCGAAAGCATAGGTCAGATGACTATTAGACTAAAATGGATGCCGATGCTTGTACTCAGCTCAAAGCTTTGTCCTTCTGGTATCGAAGGAACATTCTTTGCTCTATTAATGTCGATTGATAACGTCGGACTTCTCTCGTCGTCATGGGCCGGCGGATTTGTACTTCATGTTCTAAAGATCACAAGAACAAAGTTCGATAATATTTGGTTGGCGATTTTGATTCGGAATATTTTAAGAATCACTCCACTTTGCATGCTGTTTTTGGTGCCTAGAGTTGATCCTAACTCTTTTGTTCTTCTTCCAAAAGAAAGTGTGGATTCAAAGGTGGATATTGATGCTTCAGAAACAAAACATGTTGAATTGATTTCCCTTGTACACAGTGTTGATGATAATATGTAACATCATTGGGAAGATACATTCTTTTTGTATTTTCAATTTCATATACTTGTTTATTTCCATATTTTTTGTCGAGGGAAATATAAAAAAGAGCATAAACTAGCTCCATGTAATATTAGAAGATTTGAATAACAAAGTTATCAAACAATTTTATTACAGAAAGAAAACAAATATTACATAGAAATAGAATGAATACAATTCCACAAAAAAAGATCATAACTTCCATCCACGAAAAAAACTGAAAAAAACTCAACTCGTTAACTCGCAAAATCATCTGACTAACTCGCAGAATGAACTGACTAATGACTAACTGACTAATCATGTGACTTTAACTTGTAAACTCGCAGAATCATCTGGCTAACGTCCATCGCAAACAAGACTGTTAGTCATATTTGGTGACAATGAGGAAGCCTTGGATGGTGGCGGCCTAAAGGCTACAATAGGAGGAGCGCGATCATGCATATCAAGTGGAAGTTCAGGTAATGCCATTTCATTTTGAAGAACCTTAATAACTTCATAAGCCTTGGGTCTTTCTTTATCATTTGAGTGAGTACACCATAACCCTACAATAAGCAAACACTTCATTTCACCAACATCAAATTCCATATTCAATCTTTCATCAGCAGCACTCATTAGATTCCCTTCAACATAAAGTCCCCAAACCCAATTCATCAAAGGCACATGAAACTCACCATTTTGAAAAATCCTTCTCCCAGTTGCTAACTCCAAAGCAACAATTCCAAAACTATACATATCAGACTCTTTACTAGCCCTTCCACCATTGATATATTCAGGTGCTAGATAACCATATGTTCCAACTACACCTGTTCTCTGTGTCCTCAACACAGGATCAACCAGTTTCGCCATCCCGAAATCACCGAGTTTCGTGCTGAAATCAGTGTCCAACAAAACATTAGCTGATTTGATGTCTCTGTGAAGAACACATTGCTCGGCGTCGTCGTGAAGATAACGAAGCGCATTCGCGACACCTAATGCAATTCTGTACCTTACTTCCCAAGCCAAACTTTTCTTGTCACCAAATAAAAATGTGTCGAGGCTTCCATTAGGCATGTACTCAAAAACTAAGAGAAACTCACCTTCTTCATGACACCAACCGATGAATTGAACCAAATTTCTATGTATCAAACGGCTTATAATCCTTACCTCATTGATGAAAACTCTTTCTGAATTCTCGAAATCGGCGAAAATCCTCTTCACAGCAACAACTCTTCCTAAATAACTCAAAGCACCTTTGTAAACTTGTCCATACCCTCCTCTTCCAAGCATTCTATCATCAGCAAAACCATTAGTAGCTGCAACTAATTCGCTATACTCAAATCTTCTCGGTATTGTCGCTTTATCCAAATCAAATTTCGCCGAAACAGGTATTCCATATTCATCTAGCCCTTCATCAACATTCTTCCTTTTCCTCTTCACTATCAACCAACCAACAACACTAGCTATCAAAAGTACCAAAATAACCGGAACAATGACAGCAACAACAATCACAACCGTTTTCAACGACCCTTTACTTCCATTTCCCTCCAACAGAACATCTTCCGACGAATCCGACTTCAAATTCGAACTAAACTCCCAAGAATGAATAACATTACTTTCTGTCGAAAGACCCGTCGAAGCCGAAAATCCAATATTCACATACTCAGGCAGTTTCTGCATAAGATCAATCTGATAAGACAGTGAAGAATTCCCATTTCCAACACCTTTAACAATCCTTCCATGAAAAGACCAAAACACTTCCAACATCTTGTTATCAGAACTATAATCAATCAAAACATAACAAATCTTACCAAGATTATTATCAATATCAAACTTTCCAAATGCAACAGAAGTCAAAGAATTATCATCAATACCAACATGTCTCATTGGTGGATCCGTAGCCCCAACAAAAGTATCAAACTCAACAGCAACAACATAATTCATAAGAGCATTACTATTAGTAGTAGCATTAAAAAGACCAAAAACACCACCAGCTGAATTAGGTGGAATCTGATAACCCAATGGAGCCACATAAAACACAAAACCATCACCATAGGTTGTATCATTAACTTTATCAATAGTAAAAGTGAAACTTGTAGTAAAACTAGTAAGAGTTTTTGTGTTTTTGTCCCATAAATGTAAAGGCTGTGAATAGATTGCTCTTCCTACACGAAAAAGGTAACTTACTTTGTTGAGATCGATGGAACCGTTGGTTGACATTCCATCACCTTGGTATGAGATGTTGTTTGCGGCTGTTGGGTCGTCGAAGTTTGTTATGTTGAAGAAAAGTGAGTTTGTTTTTGGAAGTGTGAACAAGAGTAGTGAAAGAATAAGAATGATGTTTGAAGAAGAACAAGATGAAGGAGAGTTCAACATGGTTGTTTGGTTTTTTTTGTTGCTATGATAAGATGCTGAACTAGTACTCAAGTAGTAGATAAAAAAACAAATATATATGATATTGTGAATAATTGAAGATATGTAGAGGGAAAAAGTATAGACTAAAATGGGGTGGTGGGTGGTATTGTTAGATTATATTACTAACACTGTGTGCGGAAGAGTTTCTTGACTCGATGATGACTTCATTTTGTTTTAGATTTTTGTGCTGAATATTTTGGAAGAGTTTCTTGACTTGTTCATCACTATACATTAAGATTACCACTTGGAAAGAGTACAAGTGCTTGCATGAACAGCTTTCCATCACTCCATGATAATGTAAAATCTTAGAATATCTCCTTTTAGAAAACATTTATAAACAATTAAAATATTTTAATTTTTAGTCACTATTATAATTAAAAGTCAATTATTATTAAATTATTTAATACTGTAATTTATAATATACTCTTCTATTTTATTTTTCAATATTCCATTAATTTTAATAAAAATGATATTGTAGTAAATTTAATTAATGTTTTCACTAAAATTAAAAAGTTAATTATACTTAATTGAATTTTTTAATAATCGTAAAAATTATTTTTGTTGCTTATAAATATGTGTGAAAAATATATTATGAATAAAAAACAAAATTAAGTTGTCAAAAAAATAAAATATATTGGAAATAATTTTGTGAAATAATAAACAATTTGCAATTGTTTTTTCTTTTTCATTATCGTCCTTCTCATTTGCCTTAACATAGAAATTTGTTCGATTTTTTTCTAGAAACTTGATTGATTTGTGGATTTCGATGGTTAACATTTCTTATTTTTTTGGTTTAGTATATTGTTTTTGTTTACTTAGTAATTTTTGTGTTAAATGTCTTTTTGAAAGAGAAAATAAGTTTCTTCAATATCGTTTTTTATCGGAGGAGATTTTGTTATAGATAGACCATTGTGTATGAATAAAATTATTACACAATGGTGGATCACGACCGTTGTCAAATAGCAACCAGAAAATAATACTATGTGCATATTGTTACAACACATAGATTATCATTAACCATCATAAGACACCTACACTCTTTAAAGTAAATATTTAACTACCAGTCACAACACTCTAAAACGAAAGTATTGAAAAAAAATATAAAAAGTCAAATACAAGCTTAAAGTGCTTTTGATTGAGACATTTTGAAATGAAGAACTTGAATCATATATACAGTTTGAACTCTTTCTTCCTTCACAAAACTAAGTGATGCGGGACTCATAAGAAATTGAACCCTATATATAACATTGGACTTCCTCTTTCTTCACAAAACTAAACAATATGAAACTTCTTCAACATGTATATTTTCAACCAACCTTAACAATCTCCACCTTGGTTGAAAATAATACATTAACTTTCATTGTTTTCACCGACAATCATACTCCACAATAAAGAGTATAGTCACTTAAAGCTACATCACTCCAAGAATTTTCACATTGTCTTCACTGACAATTAGTTTTAAAAACTATCACACTCCACCTAAAGAAGAGTATACTTCACTTGAAGTTAAATCAGTTCAAGAATTTTCACACGTCGAAAACCAGGTTGAAACTTTATGGTGCAACGTCCATGTTGGTAGGAAACTCTTCAACCATCGACGTAATCTCACACACACTTTGCATCAATGTTCATATGTTAATTCGCTAGTAATAACTCGTCTTTTTCCATGACAGTAGAAATGTCATGAGGACACACTTCTCAATTTTCAAAGAAGTCGCCCTCTCTCACAGCGAGAGAGACATTGCTAGCATTTGACTCAGAGCTATTCTCTAACGCTGCCCCATCATGACCCTTATACTTTATACGTTCAAGCTTTCCATATTTCCAACATCTCACGCATGTTTCATTATTTTTCTTCACACACGTCCTTCCTATAGCAACCAATACCGAGTTTGATGAAGTATTATCTTCACCCTTCAATCTTCTTTCTTCAAAAATAATTTTGCTAACAACTTCTTCGAAACTCAAAGTTTCCTTCTCATATATCTAAACTGGCTTAATATGCTCATAAGAAGATGGAAGAGACCATATGAGTCTCAAAGCTTTATCTTCATCTTCAATCTTGACTACAATAGTTTATAATTCAGAAACAATACCATTGAAAACACTTAGATGATAAGATAATACTCTTGTATGTTCATTCATACGCAAGATATGAAACAACTTCTTCAACAATAATTGATTTTATATATTTCCTTTCCTTTATATAGCTCTTCGAGTTTCTCCCAAAGCTCTTTGGATGACGATCTACCAAGAACATTCACAAGAATATTCTTAGTCAAAGACATGCGGATTATACTCGAAGCTCACAAATCTAGTTCCTCCCACGCCCTATGTAATCCTAATTGTATCAAAATATCTTCGAATTGACTTTTTCACAAGCCAAACTTGATTTTTTCTATCAAACTTCTCTAAATCAATCTTCACTGCACTTGAAAAATCGACATTACAACTAAAACCTTTCCTGCAACACAATAAAATTTTCCTAACCAACACAGAGTATAAAATTTATTTTATGATGTGAAAGATCAGACAAAACTGCAACCACAAATCATACTACAAAAAATTATATCTCACCAAACCAAGACTCT